ACAAATTTTTAGCCAAATGTACAAATCGTGTGATCCCAGCTTTAGAGTAGTAGAAATTTTAATACAAATCAGTATAGAAAGAGGCCATTGGCGACAAACGGTGATAAAGTCAAATAAGAAGAAAAAGTACAGTAAAGAAATCCATACATTGCTTTATTAAAGAACAGATATTCTTTGGTAAGTCCTCCCCAAAAGGCTAATATTGCTGAGAGAGAGAGAGAGAGACGGCATCAGATGTCAAATGAAATAAAGCGAGCAACATACCAAAAAAATATTCTTTCGTTTATTTGGTTTGAAACAGGTGGAACTTCTCAAAGTAAATCCAAAAAATAGCGGTATACATACGTATAATAACTTGCAGATAGATAGCGGGACAATGAACTGTGTAAACCTTGGCGAATGTGATAGCACGGCATTGAAATTGCGTAAATTAATTTTATATTTTTATTATTTAATTTTTTATACGAGTATTTATGTATGTATAACTAGTTTCAAGTACTTCTACGTAAATACTTACGTACCCGCTTTAAATAAGCTTCGTTTTATGTTTGAATAAGTGCAGCCTCTTCGCAATCGTTTAGGGTTTTTGTTAGTGTAAAATATTCTCCAAATGTTTTTCACAGCACTGCACTACAACAGCTTTAGCGATAACGTAATTAAAAAGTATGTAATCAAAACTGTTTTACGAAGTCGAAATTCTGAAAATTTTTTCAAGTGAAACTTCTTTTTAACTTTTTTTGTAAGATTAAGTTTGGGGCTTAGATTGAGATTATGATTAGGCTTAAGATTAAGGTTTAGATTTAGATTAAGTTTTAGATTGCCATTAAGATTAAGTTTAAGGTTATGATTAAGATTAAGATGAATAAATAATAATAATAATAATAATAGATTGGCGTTTACACATCCGTTAGTGTTTGGCCGAGCTTCTCCTCCAATTTGTGGCGTGCGCCTTGATGTTGTCACACAAAGGGGAGGGACTTACAGTTTTACGCTGGCTCCGAAAGGCGATCGTACTTATATGAGAAGCTGGTTTTCATTGCAGAAATATGCTCGGAGGTTTGCTATTGCCTGCCGAGGGACGACCGCTGTTAAGAAAAAAACATTTTTCTATATTTTTTCATGATAATGCTTTGGCCAGGGCTTCAATCCGGGCCCTGCGGAGTGGTAGCACGCACTGCTAACCTCTACACCACAGCGGCCGCCAAAACTAGAAGCCAAATATAGTAAAACTGCATTTTTAGTTTCTTTGAAATTTCAAAGATTTCATTAGTTCCAAAAATTATTTAAAATGTTCAGATAAAATTCTTTAGAATTGAGATTAGACAAGTAATTTTTAAGCAAAAACCAAAACCGACTTCAAATCTTATATAATAATTTATGATAATTTAATTTCTTCATGATCCAATGATCGGATCTAAACCAAATGAATATGGAACCACCTGAGGTACCACCATTCCTTTAAAAAAAGAATTATAGAAATCGGTTAACGTGGTCCAAAATTATGCGGTAACATACATAAAAAATAAAATTAAAATATTCCGACGAGTTGATAACCTTCTCCTTTTATTGAAGTCGGTATACGTAGGTTTAGCTACCTGTCTAACAAAAACATTTCAAACATTGAAACACATTAGTAATATTCGACAAAGTTTCATCAAAATTTCAAACTTTTTAATCAGAACTTTTAGAAAATATTTTGGTACGTAGATTTGTACCCCATTAAATTTTAGTACAAGTTGCAAGTTTGACGTAGCTAGGGCTTACCGGCAAAGTATGCTCCTTATTTTTTTTATATGGAGGGAAATGCACAACAATGTTAGCAAAAAAAAAATACCAAAAATTAACGGTAATTTCTAGTTGCTTTAAATTTGCAGGAATCGGATTTTTTCTGCAAATTCTAATTAAAAATTTTAAGTTTTCCATAACATTTGCTGAAATTCATCGAATTTTTATAAACCTTGTACAAAATTTTAAATTTTGACTTTGATGGTTTTTGTTAGATAGTAAGCTATACTTTTAGAAAAAAATAATAAACATAAAAAAACAAAAGAATAATAACCAAAACTTGTTTAAAATATCGAATTTTTATTTATATATCCGCCACTGTATATAAAAGGAATTAGGTTTAAGTTTAAAAAAAAATCCGTGTTTGTATATCCTGTTGTTCACTTTGCACCGCAAATAGCTACACAATCCCTTAGAGATATAAAGTTATTGCTATTTCCACCGCAGCCACCGTAAATAAATACTAGGCACCTCCCCGCAGCGCGATTAAAGTAGTATCGCCGAATGGCAGCACGACACTCACCAGTTACAGGAGGTTGATAGCAAACTGCAAATATACTTGTATGTTAAAAACTCTTTTAATTTAAAAAATATTATAACATTTTTTCTGGCAAAATACTTGAAGTACTTTTTTTGAACTTTCCACGAGTTCTTTTCACTTTTATTAAAATATTTTTTTTTTAATTAATTTTTGCTAGAAATTAAATACCTCTTTCTGATTCCGCCTTAACCGCCAAAATATTCATAAGGACGACTAGCAGAGATATACCCAACAGCACACGAAGACCAATCATTTTCTGTAGTATTTACTATAACTCTATCCAGACGATGACTGATGTACTAATTAAAAATACAGACAAATTTACTGTAATAAGTAAGAATCAATCAAGAACTCACAAAAGGTGTAAAAGGTTTAAACAGACAATAAACGTTGTTTAAGTGTTGCAGTTGTGTAAAGCTTTTGTAAACCGAAAACAGCGTTTATGAATAAAGTTACACAACCTTTTGTAAACCTATTTTTTTTTAATCATTATGAATAAGAGGGTTAAGAATGTACGAACTTTAAACAATATAGATTTTTGCACGTGTTTAAATAAACAGTGGAAAAACTGAATATTACTGTGTGAGTTCTTGATTGATTCTTACTTATTTATTACAGTAAATTTTTCTGTATTTTTAATTAGTACAGCAGTCATCGTCTGGACAGAGTTATATAGTGAAAACTACTGAAAATGATCGGTCTACGCGTGCTGTTGTGTATATCTCTGCTAGTCGTCCTTATGAATATTTTGGCGGTTAAGGCGGCATCAGAAAGAGGTATTTAATGGCAATAATTAAATAAAAGATAAATATTTTAATCAAATTAAAATGAGCTCGTGACAGGTTCAAAAAATTGCTTGAAGTATTTTTGCCGGAAAATATTTAAATATATATTTTTTTTAACAAGAGTTTTTAACATGCAAGTATATTTGTAGTTTGCTATCAACCTCCTGTAACTGGTGAGTGTCGTGCTGCCATTCGGCGATACTACTTTAATCCCACTGTGGGGAGGTGCCTAGTATTTATTTACGGTGGCTGCGGTGGAAATAGCAATAACTTTGTAACTCTAAGGGCTTGTGTAGCTAGATGCGGTGGAAAGTGAACAACAGCATAAACACGGATGTTTTTTTTATAAACTTAAATCTAATTCCTTTTACATACGGTGGCGGACAAACAAATAGGAATGCGATATTTTAAATAAACTTGGGTAATTTTTTATTTGTTTTTCAATGTTTATTATTTTCCGAGTATATTTCTGCCATGAAAAACAGCTTCTCATAAAAATATATGTAATCGCCATTCGCAGTCGGCGTAAAAACTGTAGGTCCCTCGCCTTTGTGTGACAACATAAGAAGCATAACATAAGGAAAAGCTCGGCCAAACGCTAACATATGTGTAAGCGCCATTCTATTATTATGTTATTATTATTATTTTTTTCAAAAATTATAGTTTCTAACAAAAACCATCTAAGTCAGAATTTCAAACTTTGTACAAGATTTATAAAAACGCGACGAATTTCAACAAAATTGCGCAATATATTTTGCCAGTAAGCCCTAGTTGCGTCAAAATTTCACTTTATTGTACTTTAATTTAATATAGCTTTATACGTACTAAATTATAAAAAAAAAAAATCTGATCAAAAAGTTTGACATTTTGATGAAACTTTGTCGAATTTTCCTGACTTTTGTTCAAAGTTTGAAATTTGGACTTACATAGTTTTTGTTAGATAGGGAGCTATACCTTCATACCTAATTTTAAAACATTTGTATCAAAGTCTTAATTCTATTCCTCGTTTGACAGCAAACCTTAGGTCTTTGTTATCTTAAAAAATTAGTTCGGCGGCATCATTCTAGCTTAAACGTAACCGACAAAAGCAAGACGAAGGCGACCCCGATAGAGTAATAACCAGGGCACGGATTTTTAGGACCAAAAAAACCTATAAAAAAGGCAAAATAAAATAACGAAATACGCTGGGAAAGGCAAAATAAAATAGCGAAAAAGGCATGAAAAGGCACTAGGTGTTGCAAAAATGGCAAAACAAAATAGCAAAAAAGGCAGGAAAAGGCAAAAAAGGGAAATTAGGCACCTAAAAGACAGAAAATACGAAGAACAATCAAAAAATACATTTATATTACAAGTAAAAAGAGAAAAACTATGAACTAGTTTCATTATGGCTGAATTTCTTTATTCATTCTGAACGTTTGGAATAAACTTTTTTGTTTACTTATTCTTTAGAACGTTCCTGATGATATGTTAACGTATATTTCAAAAGCATTCTGTTTATTCCGGCTGTGAAATGGGATTATCCGGAATGTATAAAGAAACGCAGCCTATATGAAAAATTTGTACTTTGAATCTTTGACTATTTTATCCTTTCGGGTTTCTAGCTCATAAAACTTTAATCTGTATAGTTGTAGTAACATTGAACCACAAGATGCATTTTGAAGTTTTCTGGCAGCATTTTCATTCGATTTTCGCGAAAAAAAGCCCAATTGAGCCCAATTTAAATATGGAACGTTTGAAACGTTCATATTATCAGGAATAAGGGCGTTTTCCTCGCCCTTTATAATTCTGTCAACACCCCTTATTGTCTCCAAGCCTTCGTTAGCTGAGAAAACGGCTTTGAATTTTTCCAACCCCAATTTGGCAAGAGGTCTCTGCGCTTCTATAAGCCGCATGGGCAATGTGTATATTTTTTAATCTTTAAAAAAAAATCGAAATGCTATAATCACTTTTTTAAAGGTAGAAAAGGCAAATATCTTAAAAAAGGCAAAAAAAGGCAAATATCTTAGAAAAGGCAAAAAAAGGCAACATCAAATGTGTATATATGGAATCAGGGAAAGCTAAATCGTTCAAGATAGTATCTTGAATATACATAATAGTTCCCTAATGGGGTCAAATATGATAATTCAAATATGCAAATAGATAAAAAATTTAATATTATAGCATTTTTTGAGACTTTTCGATATTGTGTTTACGTGTACGTTTAAAAATTCTTTGTTAAATTTTCCTAATTCTTGTGTAAAGTTAAAAATTCGGACTTACCTAGTTTTAGTTAGAAATCGGATGTACTTAAAAACAGAAATAAAAGGAAAATAACCAGGGACCGCAAATAACGATTATCCTTTGAAATTTTAACTCAAAAAATCACGCGGAAAGAGAAATGCTACGTGCATAAGGAGTAAACCAATATATTTCTTATTACTCGGAGTACCTTCAGCGGCACTGATTTTTATTTTTTAATTTTTACTTATAAAAATCAAGTTTAATCATTATATTTTGAGTTTTATTTTTTACTCAGGAAATAATCGTTATGTTTTGAGTTTTGTTTTTTGCTCGGAAAATAATCGTTACGTTTTAAGTTTTATTTTTTGCTCCGAAAATAATGGTTACGTTTTAAGTTTTATTTTTTG